TACCGACTCGAAACTTGCGGTACTACGAAGATCCGAATTGCTCCCCGCGTTACTCGATACCGGATGGTCTTGTAAGCTTCGGTTGATTTCGACGGTTGGATGCGTTTCGAAACTTCCATTATCGAAGATTCGCGAACCGTTTCCTTCATTTTTGCTTTCGAAAATGCATTCGACGCATTCCAAGATTGAATTTATTTATCCATGCTAATGGCCGGGACTCGTTGAAGGTTTAAAACCACCAAAATTTCAAAGTCCGTCCTGTTTCGACAGCTTCCGCTATCGAATAATAATCCCACGGCTCAGAGTCGAAGAGATTTGATCTAGTCTATAGCCCCACTACTATTCGCAACGCGTTGCGCGTCGCGTGGAAGTCAAATTTAATTTTAAAGCGACAGCTCGTATATTCTTCGAAGAAACTGGCTTCTGTTGGCCGACACAAGGAGTGTCTTCGGTCATCCCACATATCACCCGTGGAAAAAATAAGAAATACATGGATTCCGGAGGTTTCCGACGTCTCTCGATACTTAAAAACGATGCTCTCCGACACCCCCAGCTGTTTTTTTTTTTTTTTTTTTAAAGACCTCCGCTGACATTGAATCTACATCGGGTGGAACGTCATCGGAAGTCTGATGACGTACTGGTACCGTTTTGCACGGTGTTTGATTGTCATCTGGTTTAATCTGGGAACTAACATCGATATTTATAACATTTATATAGGATTTCAGAGGTCTTGGTGGTCTCGTCTATCGGTTGCCTTCGGCAGAAGTTAGCCTCAGCGATTGATCCTTAGACCTTATCGCCTGTTTGGTACACGCATCGTCGATTTACCGAGTCCCTCCAAAGATTTAGGAGTTAATAACGCGGATATCTCGGAGTCTAGGAATCTGGGAATATAATTTTAGAAGTCTGGAAGACGAACGACTCAACAAGACGTCCTCAATGTTGATGGAAGTTTGAAACACTGTTCCAAAGCAATACAATTTACACTCAGAAGTCTCGGAGAGTACCAATGATAAAATACGTCCAGCCATATTTCATTCGTCGATACGGGTTCGACTTGAATGTATGTTGATGTTTGATCCTTCGTGGTTTACGTAAGCAAATCGATCAGGAAATAGATCGTATTCGCGTGCGGGTTTGCGGAAAGTTATACGAATCCACGCTGCCAAAATGCAGCCGTAAATAGATGCCTCTGAATGGTTGTTGTTCGAGGGAGCATAGAATTTCGCCGTAGGATCTTTCATTTTTCTTCATTTACTATTAATTAGAAGGTCGTTTTCTAAGGATTCAAATCTGAAAAAAAACTTGTTGCAAAAATTGTGTATATTTGGACATCAGGTCCAAGCGCGTGCTATTCGTTTGCGGATTCCGGAGATAAGTGCTGGCAGTTTCGACACGACGGGTCTCGTGTTTTTACGGAATCGATGGCTTTCGAAGTTATCGCATTGCGGCGACAGAGCGACACGTGTAATGCACGATCGCTAAAAGGAAGAGGTCCAGGAAGCACAGGTATCCCCGATAATGCACGGTTTCGAATTTACGAGTGCATTGGGGTCACTTATCTTCATCCCTGATAGCTGTTTGCATCGAGTAGATAACCGCGTACAAAAATTGCGCCCGTCACGCCGCGAATTCAACCACAGGATAGATTTTCACGTGATGCTCGGCATAAAATGTAAAACATTACCGCGAAATAGAGGCCTCTCGACGCTGCAACGTCACCCGCGGGTTGTATTGACCATTTTTGCTGCCGATATCGCGCGTGGGCTTAATGGCGCACTCTATATCCTATCCCTTATCGTCATATTTTTCAAAACCGTTCCCGTCAAATTAATTTCCACCGAGCGAAAATGAAAAATCACCATTTATAATTTTTACATCGAATACCCTGTGCGGGGCTAAAGTGAAAAAATCGAAAATAGGAATCCATCAACCAACTTCCAAACCTTCAACGAAACTTTCTATTTTAAAATTAATTTTTGTTTCTTCATGCTAAACTTCATGCTAAGCCTAATCGTTATCAATCCCAAATTTATCTACGCTTTCTCGTAAAGAATACATAAGAAACATATTAAGTTCGCGTGTGTAATCGTTGAATGGATTTTTATCTTGACGAAACATCGACGAACGCATTTTTCGAACATCGTTGATGCAAATAAATCGTTGATCCAATAAATCGTCCATAAGACGAATTGTTTATTTTCGTATGTTTTGTCTATTATAGGATTTGCACAATTTCGGTTCGTTTGTGAAACAACTGATGCACCGCCATATGGCGTACACCGGAGTCGACTGCATTTGAAAGTTTCAACTCCAGACAGACGTACACGGCTGTATGAATCGTTTCTTGTCGAATATTTGTAGAGAAAATAAACCTAGTCGCGTGTACGTACGCGAACAGTTAACAATGGGGAAAAACGATATGCTTGGAATCGGAAGAGACGCCAGTCTTTGTTATACGTTACGTTTTGGATGCAACAATCGATCATGGCGATGAATCAGAAGGTTAAGGGTATTAAGTTAGACAAAGAAAATAATTGTGTTTACTCTCTAAAAAATGTGTATTTCCTTCCGTGACTATTTTCTGGTTCACTGATATTCAGATATTCCGATTACACGAATATGAAAAACGAGACCTTTCCAACGCCTTAGTAGTCCGTTACGTATAATACTAAATCGATCACTCTCGAAAAGGTGAAAGTGTACTCTGTATAAGTAATATTTATTCGATCATCCGGAGATACATGGTCGTTTACCCAAGTCACACTTAAACAAATGCATTATTCGAGCGAAACTTTTGAGTTGAAAGCTCCCCTTGTAAGTGCACAACACATAAACCCAGGTTAAAGCAAAGTAACTTCTTCTGTTCCTACTTCGCAAGTAATTTAAGCCTGCAGATATCTAAGCTCGAAGGAAACTAGATCTTCCAAGTAAATTTCACCCTCTGCAGCCCAAATCAATAGACACACTTAACTATAAACATCTAAGCTTTCAAGACTCTCCAATCTTCGGAAATCCCAGCCAAGTGTAATTCCAGTGTAATTTTGTAGCCATTAAAACTAAATTCGAAGGAACAGAATCTGTAGGAAACAGGTGAAAGAGAATTTGATCGTTACAGTTGCAGTGGTGGTGGCATTCTTCATCTGCTGGGCACCATTTCATGCCCAAAGGCTGTTGGCTGTGTACGCGCAGAGTAGCGAGACCGAATCACAGCACGTGTTAGTAATAGTCTACACTATCCTCACGTACATGTCGGGGGTATTTTATTACCTCTCCACGACGGTGAATCCGCTTCTCTACAACATTATGTCCAACAAATTCCGAGAGGCTTTCAAGGTAAGTTGTCACTTGAGAATTCCCAGCGGAGACCCACCCTCGACACCTCTATCAAACCTTCCAAAGGAATTCGCTTTTCTTGTATTCAATTCACCTGGAAATTCGTTCAAGTTTCGCTCATATATTTTCTGTGGTCTAAATTCACCGTTTCTCTTTTTTAATTTTCTGTTCAGAAAATAATCGATATATCCTTTCGCGGCCTCCCCTTGAATCATAAGGCATCGCCTAATTTCAAAAACACTGGGGTAGATTGAACGAACTGAAGTTAACTTACAGTCGATGCTGTCGAATAACTGCGGATGGTCCACCAGGAAGTCGGTCCCTAGACAGCCGACGTATAGCAGCCTCTCGAAGTACCCGCGCATCGTGACCAGACAGGCAGACGGTCGTCAGTGTTCCTCGTCGATTTCCTTCAGCGACGACAACCATAAGTCATCGAACGCGACTCGAACGATGTCAACCGAGTTGAACGGATTGCCGGAACGGAAGCATCGATCGATGGTGAACAGGATGAATTCGCAGGATTATGAGAGAAGCATATCCAGGGGATCGAGTGCCAGCCAAGTCACCTTGATGACCACGATCAGCAATGGATTCAACGAGGGTAACAACAACGTCACCGCGGCTTGTGCCAACGACTGCTTGCTGAAGAGTCAGAGTCCTGCGAAGGGCGTCACCCTTGGTAACTTGCTCGATGAATTATTAAACGTTCGTTAACGAGTTCTCTTCTATTTCCTCTTACTTCGTGGATTAAACACCATTTTCTGCGGTAAATTAAAACCAGTCAAGGGTAGTCGTGATTCTAATCTTCAGTGTCAAAGAGCTTTCGTTTGTGTTTGCCTTGTCTGACTATGATCGACTCGGTTTTGAAGATTTCAAACTTTTCGATTTGCTCCTGAAACAGGAGTATTAGCGGAGAGACTGAGACTCGGCACCAAGGGACTCTTCCAACCACAGCAGAAGGTCACAGGCAACTCGTTGACGAAACCGAAAACGGCGAGCGCTTTGCCACCTCGGTTTCAAAGCCATCCGAGTATCGAGAGCACGAACACCATCAGCAACTCCAGCTTGCAGGATCTCGACGAGACGGAATACGCTGGCACAGAATTGGCGCAGTACATGAACAAATTGAACTGCGATCTGATCACCTGATCCTCGATTCCGGAAGACAGCGTCTGATCTTTTTTTCCTCTCGAGCGAGCGTCGCACGTCGAATCGAATCGAGCGGAATTCGATCCTTCTGAGCGCAAAAACCGATCGATCGTAGAATGTTCGACGATTCTCGTTTATTATTCGAAAGAGGAATCTGTTTTGGATTTTTTAAATTTAACCCTTTGACTGCGTACAACTTCGACCAAGCGCCTGTGGAGTGTCGATAGCAACCAAAGGGTTAAAGCGCGACGGCAATGAGAAAATTGTTGTATATAATTTTAGTTTAAAGCCAGAAGTAAGTATAAATTAACAAACGAGCAGTAAACGATCCTTCTTTGAATGATACCTTTCATCGTTTGCCAATCAATATTAACAACGGAGTGTCTATAGCTAATTCAAACACCACGTAGCACGAAGAGCGAGGAGTCTATTTTTAATACCAAACGTATTTAGTCATTCGTACCGCTTGGTGCTGACATATTGATGGGCGATATAATAACGATACCAGTAGGTTTAACGAAAATAACTGAAGTAAGTATTTATTTTTATCTTCGAATCTTGAGATAAACATAAACATAAACTCCCTCTGTCTCTGTTTATATGTTTACTTCTGATGTGTAGCGTAACATTTGTAATATACATATAATGTATCACATAGCATGAAGCTTCTTCGCAACCTTGTGCGAACAGCTTGCTAGTAATAAAAGAGTCGACGGTCACAGCCGCGATCCGACAATTTTCTTATTTAATTACGATAACTCGTGACAATCGTCGTTCACCTTTTACATCGTTGTCTTGGGTCGCTTGTCCAGGTAAGCCTTGATTCTGGGCAGCGCTCTAACCTTCTCCGACAATTTCTTCAGTTCCGGATGATTCTTCAGCAGGTCTGATTCGAGCACATTCGAAAAAAATTCCAGAAACGTGGTGAAGAGAATGTCTGCCCACGACAACTGCAACAAATTTTTAATTTTCTTGTTAGAAACAATACAGCAGTAATCGTCGCGAGAGCCTAACATATCTTGTTATAATAGTCACGATCGAGGCTCAAGTTAAACAACAATCACCTTTCCATTGACCAAGTATCCACCATTATTCTTCACTTGTTCTTCAAGTTTGTCAATGCAAAATGAAACCTTCTCCGTAGCCAACTTCTTCAGTTTTTCTTTGCGTTCAGGATCTTGCTCCAAAAAGTGCTGAGTAAATACTGTGAAATAGCAAAATGTATTTTAATCTTGTTTACTGAATGTTCATAGCTGTTGAAAACGTCCGCGGGAAATGGAATCAGTTAAACGGATGGAGTTCCCAGATACCTACTTAATCTCACGTCGTCCAAAATATCGACGGTGGCATCAATATGATAAGCATCGATATCATTGGAACCGTAAAGATTGTTCCTTCTGGCAATGAGACGTGAAATCGCCTTAGATTGAGCGTAGGGCTTTCCGTCGATCTCTAAAACGGGTACCTGACCCATTGGCATATCTGCGGAATTTGTAACAATTAGTCGCAATTCGCCAGAGACTTATGCAATGAAATTATACTGGAATATACTTCTCTATAAAAACAATTTATCGAAATATCGAGTACACTCACTAGGCTTGTATTTAGGCCACTCCTCGAAAGTGATTCTGTGGTCTTCGAACTTGATGCCGCAATGGTGCAACAAGAACCTGATTCCTTCACCAAGGCCGGTCAAATTGAAGTACGTCAACTTGTAGGTAGACATTATCTGTGTTCAAACATCATTTAACGTTTAGAGAATATTTACAACGTGGATATGTTTCTGGGCTTGGCTAATATCGGGAGAAATTACTGTTAACGGTCACATAACTAATTCAAATTTCGCGCGTATTCTGGTTGATCAGCGAAGCCATCTAGCGGTAGAGAGATCGAACTAATTTTACAAGTTTGGTCAGCGCCTCTATCGGGAAAACGTTCAAGTTTCTCCTCGATAGTTCCTTCTTTTACTGCTAGATGGTGCCATTAACACTACATTTTACCGACACGGTCGATACATTACCATCATGTCGGTAAAAAGCATTGTTAATGACGCCATCTAGCAGTAAAAGAAGAAACTATCGAGGAGAAACTTGAGCGTTTTCCCGATAGAGGCGCTGACCAAACTCGTAAAATTAGTTCGGCCTGTCTACCGCTAGATGGCTTCACTGATCAGCCAGAATGTGTGCGATAATACGAACATTAAGTAATTTATTCTAATATTATTAATAAGATTTCAATTTCTATATCTACTCAAATGGTTCATTCAAAGAAATATATTCAATATTATTGTAGTCTTGACAAGATAAGTGTTTGATAATATTTATAATAATAATGAAGTTAAAAATAGAGGGAATAAGAGTAACGTGAATAATCTTATCTTACTCGATATTTATCTTAGTTGTCAGAAAAACCAAGTGCTGAGTATACAGGGAGGAACACTAATATGTAACGATAATCAAATAAAAAGGGAATAATATAAGGATAAGTAAAAGAATTTTATATTTTGAAATTTGTGTATCACTGTTATTAGAAATATTGACGAACTAAAGAAAATGGCAGTCTGTATAGTGTTGCGAATTCAAAACACAAACGGAAAGTATCTATCAGTGACGCAGTAAATGATGGCTCATAGTCTGAGAACATTGCATGGCAATTTACTGAATGCCGTCACAAGAATAATATAGTTGGCATTGAAGTTAAATAACAACTACTAGGGTCCAGCCTTTTTGAAGCTACTACCAGTTAATCGAGTAACCGGTTGACGACAGCAATCTCACTTCACAGACACTATCAGATGTAGACACAGTACAGTATTATCTTTATCTCGACAAAAAATAGTTTAAATTTCTTCCTATCGTAGTAAATGAATTATTACGTTGATTTTACATGGTTTGTCGATGGCGTCAACATACAGTAGATAAGGTGAGTTATATAATGATGTTTAATGGACTTTTCGTGCAGGGGATCATCGATGACTTCCAATTTGAAAGTTCCAAGTCATTGTAGACCATTTTTGCGATTATCGGTTGTTTCAAACTGTTACAAAGTGTGTTACGAAACAAATTAAAAAGAGATAGATAGAATGAGAGCAAAGAATTGCACTAAAAAAGTGCCGACTGTTTTGGTTCACCTTTGCTACCATGTTTCAATGTAACCCACCGCAGTGTGAACCAAAAATAATATATAAATATATTTTCTTTGTATTTATAAAATTATTTTTTCATGTTCTGTATGGCATTAATTTCTCCAAACCATTATAATAACGATAGTATTATTTAAAATTGTATCGTCCACGGGTCACTGGTGACCCCCACGGCTGCTGTCAACGTGTGAAGGAGGGAGTCTGGTCCAGCTAATACAGGGTGTCCCAAAAGTTGGGGAAGAGCCGGAAATGGGGGGTAGCTGAGACGATTCTGAACAACAATTTTCTTTGCAAAAATGTCGGATGGGGCTTCGTTAAGGAGATATTAAGCGAAAATCCCGACCAATCAGAGCGCGCATAGACCGTTGGAGCGGCCGCGGTAGCGTAGGCTACGCGCTGGTAGCCACGCTTGCACGCGAACAAATGACTCGACGTGCATCGAAGCATCGACCTAGCGCGTAGCCTTCGCTACCGCGGCCGCTCCAACGGTCTACGCGCGCTCTGATTGATCGGGGTTTTCGCTTAATATCTCCTTAACGAAGCCCCATCCGACATTTTTGCAAAGGAAATTGTTGTTCAGAATCGTCTCAGCTACCCCCCATTTCCGGTTCCTCCCCGAGTTTTGGGACACCCTGTATACATTCAAATTAAATCTACACTGTCAAATTTTCTTCTTTGAACGTCCCTTTATATGTAAAAAAAGTTTCAATAACAAAAATTAATTATATCTGGAAATTATATGCATTAGAGAAATACATTAGCTGGACCAGACTCCCCTCTTAAACAGTAACAGCAAGATCCTAATTCTTAATTCTGACTAAGCAATTAGAGTGTTACGTTTTGCGCAGCTTTCGGAATAAAATTTGATCTTTTTTATTGGAGTTAAAAATTTGCACTAAAAAGTTTCGAAAAAGAAAATGTACACTCACGATGATCTTCAGAGGAATACGCTCGCGAGCAACTGGAATTGATGATCTCTCGGATCCTACTAACTTTGTCTCTAACTAGACTATCATTTTATATACTGTTAACTCCGAGAGTCCCCCCACTAGCGCAATGAAAATAATATCCACTGTCACAATGTTATCGTGATTCCTATTGGAATATTCAAATACATACACATTAAAATAATTGGTTTTTCAGATAAACCAGCATATTATATCAAGCCCAATTTTACGAGTTGTCGATTGTTTCATAAAGAGTTGCAACAATGTTACATTACACGTTGCATTTTCATGAAGTTTAGTTTAACATCGGTTACGCAACTTCAATCAGGAAATCTATCTTGAACGACAGACTTCAGAAAGAGATTCGATGACAAGCAAGGTATACGTAACTAACTGATTTTTATCGTTTAGATAATACAAAACATTTGCTTTAGTTTAATATTAAACGTGGTAAGTAAATTAGTCATTCTTATCTAAATGAAAATAAACGACTGTGTTCGCTTAATCAGTTTCAAACTTGTACAGTCATTCATTTGCCTACTCCTGTGCCAACTTAACAATGACATAGCTAAAGCTAGTTTTATCGTGTTTAGACTTTAAAAATAATTCAATCTGAATAATAAAAAAAACAGCAATTTTACTTTTAACGCGTGATAAGTTCGAGATATTCCTACACATAACGATCCCGTTACGCCTACGAAACGACCTTCATCGGAATCGCCATTGCGAATACAAATCTAGTTGCAAGAATTCTGAATTCGATTTTATCTCTGCAACATTTTCCGCAACTAGCAACAGCACAGCTGTATCAATTACTTCGTATTTGGTATCTTGTTTACTGTTACCGCGCCTACAATTGTCGGATCACTATCTAGATAAGTGATTTGCCGTTATTTTGATTAATATACACTTTATCAAAATGTAAATTTGATCTATTTTAATCGATCAACGAATAATAAACATAGTGCTACAGAAAGTTGTCCGATTTTCAAATTTTCGTTAATTTGTTTAACACATATTATCATTAACCTACGTATTGTAGCTACTCTTCAATAAAAAAAAACGTACAGAAAATTACAACAATAATTAATAAAATTAACTCTTTATTGAGATACAAAAGCATAATACTATTTCAACAAAGTCTTTCCATCTATTTGTATAGATACACAAATAACTTTATTATAGCAAACAAAGATAAAGTAATGGTGAGATGTAAATGAAATCTTTATAGCTGCTATTCTATTAGTAACGCAATTGCGATGATAAAATTATATGTTCTGTATCTGTAAGATCTGATTCATACCGAATAACAGACTTTTCTAAATGTATACAAAGTTGAGTGAAAATAGCGAATAAAGATTTAACATTCGGATTGAGGACGTTTGGCGACCCAGGCTTTGATCGCGGGGAGAGCAAGGACCTTATCTCTAAGTTGCTTAAGGTTGTCGAATTTCTCGATGATGTCTGACTTCATCATGAAGTTTAGGTAATCGAGAAGAGCGACGAAAGTTAGATCAGCCCAGGTAAGGGCGCCACCGACGAAGTAACCACCGTTCTTCTTCACCTGTGCATCCAGACGCTCCAATACGAACGGTACCACTTCGTTGGCGACTTTGAGTTTCTCAGCCTTGGTCACCTCGTTAGTCTCGTAAGAATAAGCACCAATCTCTGAAAAATAAATATTACATTTTATTCTGCCACAAGGGTAACAGTGAGCAATATGAAAAATGTAGAAAACACTCACTCATACGGACATCGTGAATAGTATCGACAATAACATCGATTTGAAGGGCTTCCCAGTCATCTTTTCCAGCAAGACCATTTTGCCTGGCCAAATAACGACAGATAGAAGTAGATTGGGGGACTACTTTCCCATCAATTTCGAGAGTAGGAACCTGGCCAAATGGTGTATCTGAAAACAACACATAACATAAAAGAATTAAACACAATAAAAACAACTTCTTATGTTTCTAGGATATTGTAGACAAACATCTAATGTCATTCTCTTAAAAGAATTGTAATTATGGAGAATTTATCGTAGAACAGAGGATATTGTGTGCCTAACAATACCCATTGTACTTCAAGCTGACTCGCAAACAAATATTATTGTGATTTGTGTAAATATCATTACATTTGCATCAATTGAAAAGTATAGGAGGTTTAATTACCAGGTTTTATTTTTGGCCAATCATCTCTGTTGAAACGAACATCTTCAAATTCAGCTCCAGCATAGCTTAAGATGAAGCGAATTGGTTCAGCCAATGCTTTGACTGGGAAGTAAGTCAGCTTATAAGAAGGCATCTTCCTGAAAAAGAATAAATTAAGTTTACTGTATAAAACGAATGTATTATGTTCAGAAAAATATATACACATATTCTGAAAGATTCTCACGAGTTTCATTACTTTATTATACTGAATATTTAATCCGTAAAGCCATCTTACAACGTGGCAGACTCCATTAATAATCATTTCGTACTATTAATAGCCAAAGCCTCTATACATTGTCTACATATTTTACCTACATCTCCGTCACAATTGCTTAAAATAAATCCACAAATGTAACAATCAATTAAAAACCTGATAGTTTTAATTTTACACAGTAGCCTTTTCAAAGAATCAATCAGCCGGTTCAGTCGGCAGAGACAGAACTTGACGCAATCATGGGTTCTCGAAAAATGTATAAACAGAAACTATAAGCACTTTGTCAAGAAAAATAGTTGAAGTCTAAAGCGAAAAGTATCGGTATACTTACAAGTTTCAATGGAAAAAAGAAGTAACAAAAAGCTGCAACAAAACGTCTGAAACGTCTGAAAACCGATCCAACACGGTGGTTCACGAGCAATGGAAGTCCAATTACGATTAACAAGGGCGACAGGACGTTCTTAAATACATATTCCCTCCTCTCATTGGTATCAATGGTGGCCGTCCTATTGGTGGACACGCCGAGCAATAAGAGGAAGAGAGAAAGGCATATTCATATTTGTAATTTTGCAATTGTAATTTATTGTACAAACAAATTGACAAAAATGTAAGTTGTCTAAACAAAATAAATAGAGGAATCACAAGCAGTTGAATTACAATGATTACATTATCATCATGCAGACTGTGCTTGACTGTGCTGCAGCGCTCACTGTTTGAACGGTAGATAACCGAAACAGCCATACCGCGAGAATTTGAACATTTCAAAAACATTAGCGAAGAAAATAATGTACTAGAAGTAGAAGTAAACATTTCGAAATAAACATTTCGTAATTACACGATAGCAAGTTTGCAAAGATAGCAACAGAAGATGAGCAGTTTCGCTAATTACAGTATTTGCTAGTTTTGCTTATTATTGACCGTTATCATTTACTATTTGCATTAAAAATAATCTTTAGATATCAAAAGGCATGTGTCTAAACAATCGAATTAAAGATAATATCATCTGAAAATCACTGTATTATCTGATCTAACAGTGAATACCGTTCTTTATCAGCAGTGGCTTAGCGATTATGACGATAAATCGGGCTCTTCAATGTAATTGATACATTACTCGTAATGCGGTGAACTCCAGAGCAAATAGGTGGATTACAAAATGTTTCGCAATCGCGATGAATTTTATTGTACGATTTTATAACATGATGCAACATTGCGTAAAGAACATATTTACTATTGAAATTGTCAACATTCGTATCGACGTAGATAATGAGTGAAAGGAAGGACATAAAACTTCTTTACAGATTATTATTTTATATATTCAATCAGTCGATACATTTGCAATTACAATTCAACATACACTATATCGTTTCTCAACATTTAATCATTAACATTTAGTCATAATCTCGCACGTGACTATATTTATTTCTTCAAATTGATTTTTGTTATAAATGGGCGTTTTCCATATATGCAATTGTAACTGTGAGTAAACAATACAAATGTTTGTGTAAACGAATTGACGCCGGTACAGTTTTAGGGTCCAAAAATTACTATTAAAATCAGTACATGGAGTATTTTTCATAAACCCTCAAATCATCGGAGAAATGTCTAATTATAGAAATGCAAGTAAAATAACACATTGCCCCAGAAGTACATATAAATTAATTTTGTTTATGGAAGAGACTTAAATTTACTATCAGGTTTTTGTCACACGTGTCTGCAGAGATTTGTATCGTTTTGCAAGTTGTAACACATCCAGAACACATTGTTGACATTGACAACTGACAACGTTGACGAACGTTTAATAATATTCGATAAAGCACACGCAAGTAACGCAGATATGTACTTGTTCCTTTTCCATCCTGCGGATTCAGAGTGTTTAAACCTCTGTCTGGGGTCGTTTGGTCAACCATTCGGCGATAGCAGGTATCCCGTGGACTCTTCTCTTCAGCGCTCGAAGGCCTGGATAATTTTCCAAGGCAGCGCTGCCGAAGATATTTTCGAAATTCTCGAGGGCTACCGCGAACACAAAGTCCGTCCACGTGGTCTGAAAAATGACAATGCATTTTGTTCGATACTTTCATAGAGATTGCACAATCAAACTAAATCTTGCACATGTATAAAAAGTAACATTATATCAACGACTCACAGTGGAACCAACGGCGTAACCTCCATTTTCGCCAATAGTTTGTTCAAACTTGTTCAAGTAAAAGGGTATAGTTTCCTTCAAAAGTTTCGCCTTCTTTTCTTCCTTCTTGAATTGATCCTTCTCCGTACGATACTGGTATATAACTGAAACACGTGACGTCTACAATAGAACTATAATTAAAACAGTTTTTTGAAGAAAAAGCGTGCTTGTATCTCTCGCTGCTTCGCCGATACTTTTCTTTCTCCTTCGTCACGTTTCAGACTATTCCTTGTCGCGGTTGTTCGTTAACGAGTCACATTCGTCAACACGATTGATATTTTTCAATCTTCTACCTGTTACGTTCTTGTAGTAAAAGAACGAACTCCCCTCCCGCAGAAATAATCGTTAACGCATCATGCAAACAGTCCGCGTTGCGTAATCACGCGTATTACAAGCGGAAATTAGTATGCTATCGCGTACACAGGATCTTCCTGGCTTCAGTAATTATGCAATATTTTATTTATTATTCTGGTCATATTCGCGGCTAACAAGTATCGGTATCATGTACCACAGGTGTACATATTTGAAAATAATACGAAGCATGTTTTATGCGTTGACCGGCCCGAGGACTTACACTTCATAGTTGAAGGAACGCTGTTGAATGCGCGAACTTATTTATTTGTTTGTCGACGTAGATACATGGTCTGTCTAAAAAGAAACCGAACTTTTGCTATTAAAAGAAAAAAGAACAAGTAAACTTTTTACATATACGTTTATTTACTCAAAATAATCTCCCTCTGCATCAATACAGCGTGTAGACCGCGTAATTAACATTTCGAAGGACCTTTGCAGCTCCTGTTTTGGTACCCCGTTTAGTATGGCGGTTACAGCGGCCTGAATCTCCGAAATGTTGCTACAATGTGTCCCTTTCATTGGAATTTTCAATTTTGGGAAAAGAAAATAATCGCAGGGTGACAAATCAGGCGAGTAGAGTGAATGATCCAAGGTAACAATGCCAATTCCAATGAAAGGGAATCATTATAGCAATGTTTCGGAGATTCAGGCCGCTGTAACCGCCGTATTAAACCGGGCTACCAAAACAGGAGCTGCAAAGGTCCTTCGAAATGCTAATTACGCGGTCTACACGCTGTATTGACGCAGATGGAGATTATTTTGAGTAAATAAACGTGTGCGTAAAAACTTTACTTGTATTAGGTTGTCCCGAGAGTTTCTTTCGCGAGTTACACTCAATTATTTTATATGGTCGTGTTTGTCTAAATAGACAATCTAATTTCGTAGGTATTCACGTTGTAACAGTAATGGAGCAAAATGAATCGTACACAATTCAGTAATGTAACATAAAACATAAACTATTTGTGCATGTATTACTTATTAATAAAGCGAAAGAAACTTTTGGGACAACCTAATACTTTTTTCTTTTTATAGCAAAAGTTCGGTTTCTTTTTAGACAGAGCGTGTATAGCGAGGGACCATTTCTGAATCGAGCCATAGTCTAATCATTTTTAATATCACTCACTTTGCTTCAAGTCTCCAAGGGTATCGACGAGCACATCGCACATCATCGCCTCCCATTCGTCCCTTCCAGTCAGATTGTGTTTCCTCGCCAAGTATCTCGCCACCGCATTGCTTTGCGCTATCGGTTTCCCGTCTATCTCCAGCACTGGTAGCATTCCGTAAGGCATTGCTAAGAACAAATACAGTTCGAACGAAATTGACGTGCAGACGTATACAGGCGATCGATACAAAATTACACGGCCTTCGAGACCGAGTCTTTACAGCGTGCGTTCGTTTCTGAATATGGAGCAGACTTTGCGCCGGTTTTAATCAACGCGTCCCACTAATGGATCGCTGAAACTTCCATTTTTGCAATTCGACACTCGTCGAACGTAATGTCTTCCGAGTTCTAGGTATTCCTTTCACGCGACATTTTCTACTAAAACGAAAGATGCAGTTCCTTTTCAGTCGAATGTCTCGACAACATTATCTTCGATAACGAATTACTGGGAGGAAGCCAAAAATTCGTAATTTTCATCGGGAAACGAGTAATTTTCTTGCTTCCTGCTCGTGATTTCTCTCGAAACGTGGAGCAGGTAAAGCGTCCGCGTAAAAGCCGGCCGCCATCGGTGATTGAAAGCTACAGACAAAGCTCGCATAGAAATTTCATAGAGCGAAGTTAATTTCGTTCCACGGCGCTTGAATCGAATTATTAAACATTGTTTCGTCTTGCGAAAGTCGAGATAAATTACGCGACAAACCTTCTTTTGCAGTTTATATGGAAGGCTTTTGAAAGTCAAACTTCTTGTTTGCTTCAGTGACACAGAAATGTTATTCGGTTAGAAACGTTTGACGGAAAAGTAATACGATAATTTTATATGCAATAGACGTTTCAAGCACAGTGCAGCGCATTACCGATGTACCGATGGATCCGAGTATCAATTTTATAGGCACTTACGGAATGAGCGTTGAAAGATGAAAATAAAACACAACTTTCAGCCCTTACATTTCTTGAGTTCCGGCCAGCTTTCCTTCGGGATCCTCTTGTCGACGTAGTCGACGCCCGTGTATGCAAATATGTAGCGAATTTGCTCGGCAGGACCTCGGGCATCAAAGTAGATCAATTTGTAAGTCGGCTGTCCTTCGCCCATTTTCTTTCGTGACGATCTGGAAAAATTAGACGTCTCGTTCCTCGATTTTTATTACAGAATTCAAAAGAAACATAACGAGTATCTTTGAAATCGTCGCGCTGCACTCTAAACACCTTACCGTTCTCAGTTTCAAAACGAGAAAAACGCGGTTAATATGAAGAGCACCGCGACCACAAGTTTTTTTCCTACACTCGACGGATGTTCCATCTCGTAATTCCTCGTCTCGCTCGTCTTTTTCTATTTTTTATTCTCGTCATTTTTATGCTGCAACCTGCTGCTCGGCCTCTACACAAATCCGTGTCGATTTACATTTTAATACCTTCGGAAAGATTAATCTGCATCCGTAACTTTACACTCGAATGCATTTTTCTTTTATTTTATGCTTCGTAACAAAAAAATCATTCGCGTCGAGCTTCGCCACCGCACCAGTTTCGATATTAAATTCACGGAAATTAGTATCAAAGAGGAAGATGGGTAGTTCATATAAACTCAATCCCGATAAACGCTATCGATTGCGTCGCTATATCGTCATCCAGTTCAACTATGTTTCTCCGGATGCAATGGTATTAATCCAGTAGCGTACAAACTCCTGCTCGCAAGCTAATTTGATCTTTTCATCGAGTTCGTACGGTTCGTGAAATGAAGTAAAAACGAATAAAAATAAAAAATTGGAGTGCAACTTGTAATAGTAAAATTTGGACCGGGAGGTGAAATAAACAGTTGACCATCGTCGATTTGGAATAGCAAAGTTTCGAATTAGCTGGATTCCCGTTCTTTGTTCGATATTGTCGAAAGCTCTCTGCATTTCCTTAGACCTCGATGCCAACATTTACGAGCCACTTTTGCAAATTTACAGTCATCGTAATCCGCTGGTAGCCTCCGCATCTGAGCTGAATTTTAATCTACTCGCGAATCTCCAGCCGCCTGTTCTAAAGGTAACGAGGGGGTTGCGTGTTCACGTGCGTGCAGAAGAGGCCACTATCGGATAACAAAGTCCGTCCGTGTAGATTAAGCTTGAATACCCCCGTGGAAATCGTCGAGATTCATTGCCAAACGCCTCTCCGATAATCTAAATTAACCAGCGTAGAGTAGTTGAAAATCCTAGAAACATTTTCCGAAGTGTTTTTCGTTCTTGAAATTTCAACAAAAGAAGAAATGTTTCCGATTAGAATTCATTTTGCTTGCTTAAATTAGCCGACAATAGATCGCATTTGTCGGCACTTTCTGCATCGAGTAATTCTACACAAGACCTACAAAGAGTGTCATCTATTGGTTAGTATTGAAGTCAGGCTCTTTCGTAACGCACAGCGAACAATAAGCGATAAGAAACCACTGTTCCCGTGAATGGCCACAGTTGCGACAGACGCTTAATTAAGTGTCGCGGGATAACGAACCGAGAAACGTGACTAATTTCTAGACCATAGAAATAGAATCTTACTTTCCTGATTTCGGCACAGATAGAAGGATAGAAACAAGTGAAAGGAATCGTCGAACTGTCTTGCGTTCGTACGCGTGCGATCAGATTTAAGATTTGCGAACTGAAATCTGAAACTCACTGTTCTAATAAAGAGAGAGTTTGTTGATCGATAGAATACGTCACTATAAGAAACGGGGAATGACGATGAAGTTTTTAGAACGAAATCATAATCCTTCTTTTGATTCGTGGCTTTGACTAATGATCTAAAGTGAGAAACGATCGAAAGATGCTTTCGTCGACGGCGCAAGGGTTGAAAAGGCTAGCGTAACGTCGACGGTAATACTTTGAGCCCTTATACCTCGACCTGCCCACCCACAGACCGAATTGAGGTTCACCGGGGCATTGATCATTGATTTTATGTCAAATGCGGTTGCTGGACTGCGACTATCACGCTTGCTGCTCAGTGAATCGGTTTACTTTCGCAGATATCACGGTTACTTTTCTCGAATAAAATGATCCCTTTGTACATTTACTATTTTAATCGCATTACACTCCACTAAATAGATATTAGCTGTTACGAGAACTTGATATTATTTTAATAATCATCAACCTTTATACGTTTTATCTATAATCACCTCAATATCACTTCTCCGTTTAAAATAAAATCATTAATTTCCACTTGATGACAAGCGCTAGCGTGCTGTTCCTCGATAAAACGGGATCCCATTCGCTTCCAATTGTACGCGTTATTATTTACAATTAATCTGTTATTACAAAGCGTTCGGAAACACTTGTATAAATGGATAAAAATCGATATAACTGCTTCGCAAACAATTTTTTGTTACCGGAATCAGTGGGACAATTATCGAACAATTCTCAAAACGGCAACGCAAAGAAAAACCACGCGAAAACTCGTATCAGAAATCAACCCGAAGTAATCTTAAGTGAATAGAATTTTTGAGACCTGCAGTGATCCCATCGTTGCCCAGCAACAAGCTTCGGCTGTCTTTGAAGCGACAATCTTGTTACCCAGTCTTCGATCTTCGGATACTTAATGCAATATCGTCGTCGGAACGGCGCCTTGGAAACCAATCCATCGCGAGTGTTTGCTTTCGAACCAACTGTCGATACGTTTGAAATGCAAATCAACGTTGAAAAAACGAGGTGCTATTCTGAAGCTGCTTTTCTATTTCTATCATTCGAATCGCAAAACTTACACCGGAGGTTGAAGGTTATAGGAAACGCAAGTAGGTGCCATTTGAATGCATCAATGACTCCATGATACCAACAAAGCAGGAAATAGGTATCGAAAATAGCTTTCGAAATCTCATTCACATCTTCGATGCGCATTTAGAGAACCGGGAAATCCTCTTACGCTAAGACGCCGGACGCATCATGTCGAAGAAACTTTAACCGAAGTTTTTATCAATAATGTAACAGACTTTAAAACTTCTATCGTTGCCCACATAGTAGAGAATCTCGTGACACTGAAACGTTGAAACACCGAACGAAAACTGCGGGATACTCAATCTTTTGTTTGGAAGTACTATGAAGTTTCAAGAACGTATTGCAATTTCCCTCGCTTCTTCATCTCATCCATCGTTCAATTTCTCGATAAGAAGCGCTTAATGGACGATAATCCATTGTCGCGAGTCGCGAAGTTACAGCTGGTTAATCGATTGGACTCGATCAGGACGCGTTTCATTCCCATAATCCGATCTGTGCGCGGTTTAGTTATGATCGCGTTCTGTCGGTGTTTACTGGCAGCTTAAACTGGCGCAAACAGTAGCAAGCGTCGCGAACAGCCCAGCTGGTTCGCGCTTTGTCAGCTCAAGAGAGACGGTATAGGATTACGGGTCCTGTGATTATACAGGAGATGGACGACATATTGCGAACACCTGTCCGAAACATGAAATATTGTGGTCCATTCCCTTTCGCAAATGGAACCATTTTTCGAGTGCCGCGACTAGCTATAGACTCGCTGGTGCACTACCGTGCGGCGTGCCTGACTCGTGCATTTCATGTTCGATCCGAATTCCTTGTAATTCGACACTGGGTTCAGCCACCAAAATGAGAACCTAACGATCGTCGTCACGATTAACCGAATTAATTCTGATCCCACCGACCTCGGTGCTCGTACGCGCGCGCGCGCGCATAGAATGTGTAATTGATTTTCAGAATCACCAGTGGCTTCTCCGCCGGTAATATTCGGCCCAAGTAATTCGCGCCTCCGGTCTCTGGCCTCACAAAGTAATCTCTGAATTGCAATTAGCAAAGTGTAAGATGGAAGGTGAATTCGATGCCACCCTTCGTTGTCGAGTCGTAACGCTCGGTATTGGGAGCGCAATCACGTTGATCTCGCGACCGAATTCTATGAAATATTTGCGTTATTTGTATCGTAAGGAACTTCAACGTAACAATCTTTAATGGTAACAAAAAAGAAAAGGTCTTTGAACGTTTGTAATGGCGCCTACTTCGATTCCTATTGTAGACGTTAGTCAGTTCATTTTATAATAAATTAATTGGATCGCGTTTCAGTCTTTGTATTATTATATACTGCGACGTTGAATGTTGTTACACATTTGACGGCGCCAGTCGTTGACTGTTAATATACAACGTAACGAGCAGTTCTGTGAAGCACAACGTTGTATAATTATTATGAATTATTTCGCTCGTCATCTCGAACCCTGCACTCGTTGTTAAAATTGTATACTATTCGCAAGTTAGCTTAAACAAAACTAGAATTATTAAATTTGGTTGTTGAAATCTATCTTGAGTTAGACTTAATTCGCAACCATCGGAAATAGACTCTTAGCGTTATCGAGAGCCTCTGAGTGACTCGTCTATTCAGCTCCCATTATTCGACGTTCCTCTAATCCCCCGTCTCTCGTGGCTAGCCGTAAATCTTTCAAAGTTCCCGTCGTATTAAGAACATGTACAAATTCAACGAGTTTTGCCCTCGATCCTTGATCGTGATTTCAGGATAAATAAATTATCATTATCCCGTGTCATCGATTACGCGAAGAGGAAAATGCTCGAAATGCGTGAAAAGTATTCGGAGCCCAAATGAGAAAAGGGAAATGTGGAGAAAGAAATACGCGAGAGAGAAATACACGAGAGAAGACCAAAAAACGAGCGACGAGACGGGGTGGAACGTATAGGCAACTTTGTAGTGGGTGCATGAATAATAAATATGCCGGCAACACGGGCCGACCTATTTTGACTCACCCGCGACACGATGAATATTAAAACGAAATATTTCGCGAAATGCTAGAGGCAGTTATAATACAAAAATGTTTAAGAAGCGATTCAATCGAATAGCACCGAAAACCATCTTAAATCACCCCTTCGATTTAGAAAATGTAAAAAATCTCGTAAAAACTTTATTTAAAAAAAAGTAAATACCGAGGTTATTCCGTATCCTATTATTTATTTACGTTCCAACTATACATATATACATTGTTTCTACTTGTCATCTATTACTCAAAGTGTTTCCTATCTATGACATGCAACAGGGTATGGCTGCCACTCATCGTGTGCAAGTATTGCTCAATGAGAACAGATATTTATACTTGACAAAAAAATCGTACAATTTGAAAAAACATACGTAAAATTGAAAAGCAATACGTTCGATAGAATTGTCTTAAAAAATCTGAAATTTCCATAATTTTCGTGTTCGAAAGTGTTTGGAACCCTTAATGTCTACGATTCGATCTTAAGCATTAGTGCATCGTATACGATGGAAAAAGAACTCGATTACGCGTGACTGGTTAATCGAAGAGTTAATTTAAACTCACCGCCAGTGTCCTCGCGGGAAAGTGCCAGCAACCCTTCAGTCAGCTGGACGAACACTCGCGCGGAGCGGGGCTCGCACTGAGCTCGCACGCGAAACGAACGAATCCAGGTTCCTCGTGTTCCTTCGGCACCACTTGCTCTCCACCACCGCTTCCCCGACACCCTCGGCTCTCCAGCCACCTCGAGCACGATGCGCAACCTCGGAATATTTATGCCACCCTACACCCCATGTCCCAACCCTCCATCCAAACGGGGAACCGTTCGAAACGAAAATTGTTTTACGACCTCGACCAACCAAGCACCCCCTTTCCGCCGCTTACTGCTTCGTTTCCTGACTGTCGGGGTTTCCTTTCGTGCCGATATACCTACGGAAAGACAGAATGTAACCCACCTTGGTAATATTAATTCTTTTTTGCAAACAGTTCGATGTGTGCAATACCTACCATGAACTGTCGAATTTTATAAGGGTTCTGTAATATTTAATATTAAGACACTTCTAAATCGCCAACGGATGTAGAAAGATTAGTTTGGCCGGCTGAACATACACGCGCCGCGCCGTATCCGATTGCCGCAGTAGAATGTACCCGTCTGTGATCAGACGGGCGTATGCAAACAGGTGGAAAGCGTCGATCAACCACGGTACCTTTCTCACGGTAATAAATCTTGATCTTCGGATCGTAAGAATTCCGTATATCATACCATTCGGATCTTTTACTTTTAATAAAGAATTCATTGAGAAAGGTCGTTGTCCCAGGCTTCCAGGTTTACGTCTCTCCTCGAGCACGTTCCGTTTATCTTTTCGGAAATCATTGTTAAAACTTCTCACCGATCTTCCGTAAGAATCGTCCCTCTACTTCGAAGAGGCGAAGGCGGCTTCCATAATAAATGCAACACCGCAACGAAGCATACGTCACAAACGAGATCACACGCTAGGAACTATGTTTCCACCTTGTTGATTTGTTTTTTTTTTTCTTTTCTTTTTTTTACTGGCGGTTGAATGGAATTCTCAAAGCATTCCGGCTCGTAGATCGCGAGAAACGGTCAGCGTGCACGGTAAATTTCGCGACGGATTCATCAACACGCGATATTCCTGCCGTAACGCATTTCCATGTAACACTATATCCACGGCGTAAACGACCACGTGAACAGGGGAAGGCGCGGCGAGTGTGCGTTAAATGTTATGCCGTGCTTGGGTCGGTTAATTGGTCAGAGCAAGCCAGTTAGTTTCATTACGTTACCTCCATCTTCGTGGGTTTCGCACAATAGAGACCTCTTCCAGTAACGGGGCCACTAGGCCTACGTGTGTTCTAGAACCTCTTTATTGGAACGAGACGCGTCCCTGCCGAAATTCCGAACCGTTCAAGGATTCTACAGCCCTTCTCAGTACTAGGTACAGATCATTCTGAAACTTGACAATTATCGGAAAGTTTCGTTGGCGAATATTAGCGAGTACAAACGTACCTTGTATAGACTTGAAACATTTATTTCGCGTTCAGCATTTTCAGACGCGCGCAACTGTTTAAGGTTGTTTGACGTGTACGATCTTTATAAAACGCTGCTTTCAAAATCGTTCCGTCGAATCGGTTAGCAATTTGTAGTGTTTCGTAGAGCAAACGCTACTTGGATACAGAAGCACGGTATTTGTGTCTAACGTGTGAAAAAAAAGTGAATTAGTAGCGAGGTGTTAGAAGAGTTAGGCAATATTTGATTACCAATTGTCGATGCATTATAGTCTTTGCGAAACGTAGAATGGACGCATTGTGGACATTGAAATACCTCACCTGAAAACGGTATGAAAGAATCAGCCGATGATTCGACGAGCGACCAAAGTAGGAGCGTCGATGGTTTCGGTGTACGCTGGTGGAACACGAGGAAAGACTCGGCGAAGTCGGTGTGGACGTGAAAATGTCGCTGGTCGCAGACGAAGGATCGCGGAGGGCATCGTTAATGACCCATTGTAAGTGGCGAAGAATTGTAGACTCGCACGCTCCGCTTACCCTGATCGAGTGCAGGGCCTCTAAAACGCGACTACGCGTCCGCAAGTTTTGTTATCGTTGCAACGAGCGAGGTGACAGAGCTTTAGTGCAAGGTTAGTCGGCGATGAGTGAAGTGCCATTCCTCTCCGCGACCACTGTTCTTCGGTAGCGGTTAGGACAGCAGGATTCCAGGTGTAAGTACTCGTGCTCTAAGTTTAGAAAAGTTCTCCGATATTCTGTAATTTTTCTATAATTGAAATCTCGTGGTGCATTTTTAATCCACCGATTAGCGCTGGCTTATTTTCCTCCAAGTGGAAAACTTGATTCTTGTTATCACAGTATAAAAGGATGCTGTTTAAAGTAATTATAAATGATAATGCAATTCAGCTCTCGACGAGATAGTACGCCGATTTTCCGAGTCGAAGTTCCATTCACGTTTCCGACAAGTCACGTAACGTTTACAAGAAGCTCCAGTGACAAGTCGCTCGTCTATTGAAACGACGTCGCTACGCTTAAATCCGTTCCTGTTTCTTTCGGTACACGTGTTTACCATTTTCACTAGGATCCTCGGTGCAAAGAGAAACGAGAATGAGTTTCGACGTCTACGAAGACGTTCATCCACTTTCCCTTGAATATTTCATCGATTTTACAGCGAATTTTTCGTTGACATTATCAGCGAATATTCTGCGAAATTGAGATACAATTATTCCAAATCGTGTTGTTATGTTTAGATTTATCAAATCATTCGATAAAAGTACGATTTTCTCGTGTTCCAAGTCCGACGAGGCAATTTCATGTTTATTCTAAGTAGGATCAACATCCGTCGCTGGTTATGTAATACATGTAGGTGACAATGATTTCAACGATCTACCGTGATCCCCTGATCGGTCGAAATCGGGTCGAGCGACGCATCGCAGCGTTCCAAGACGAGGTTTTCAGTAACCGTTCGGCGTATTTTGAAAAGAAAGGAAGCCTGCGGAACGAGACAACAAAATAAATTGAGAAGATTAATGGCAATCACCACGTAGGTCAGGTTACACCATTGTTTGACGAACGTCCCTCTCCTGAACTTCGAAACTGGGTTGCATAACGGATTACAGCTGAGGCACCTTCGTGCACAAACTCTTGGATGGTTCAAAATATACATTTTCCACGAAAGAAGTATTTGCATTCGATCGACGTTAAAGCTAGACGCGCGTCACTTAATTAAGTAACGACGTAGCTTTTGAGCAAACTATAAAATCAGGTACGTTTCCACGGAAAGCCGACTGTTCGGCGCATTTAATAAAGTTTTAATCACGTCGCTTGTTAGCTATCCGTTACTTTCGCTCTCACCCTTCTTCGCCGTTTCTTCCATCCTCTTTTCTCCCTTTCACCGCGCCACATCTGCCTCTCTCGAATTAATCGTACTGTTATCGATTCGCAAGAATTTCAATTCCACCAGCATTTTTCTCCGACGTTTTAAACAGGACAATAAATATACATTAAACGTTTGCAGAACTTTGCCATTCGCTCGAGTTAAAAGCACGACACTCGATTTCTGGGCGGTCGACAGGCCACTTGACGCGAATCTAGAACCATTTTAGTTCGCTTTAAAACCAATCGTTCAACTATCAACCGATTGTGACTCAATGTCGGTGGAGGTTTGCGCTCGAATGTTACGTAAACACGAGCGCCATGGCAGAGATGGGCAAAATTTTATTCGAACCAGAGATGATCAGAGATTTAACCGAACTCGTTTAATCAAACTTTCTACAATTCTATAATTCAAAGTTTGTCCATCTCCGTGGCATGACAAAACGAGGTCAATGGCGGAAAATTACAGGGGAGTCGGCCGAATTGATCGTCTATTTTCCTCCTCGCCGAAAAAACTTCTAGTCCGAACGTTTTTCGTCGGAGAACCGTTCTGTACGGTACACTCGCGAAATTTCGATAATGAAGGTGTATTGTACGAAAAGCTCTGTCCTGGCTCTATCGAGCCACGTATCCGCGGGAACGGTGCTTTATATTCGTCGCGTTATTCCTGCGACGAATACGGCCGTAATCCTCTGGTTTAATGAGTTTCTACTCGACCGCGTCGACTACGAACGTGCCCAACATAAATCATGGCTTTTTTTTGCATTCTTTATTGCAGGTGATTTTTCGCGTCACTTATTCCATGTAATAATCGCGGGAAAAAGAAGAAGAATCTCGACGGAAACCGAAGAACCTATCGGAATGAACTCCGAGTATCGAAACATCAGCATCGAAACATTCGATTTCCTTGAAATCAACCCGAACCGATTTATCGTATCGTCCATCCCAGGTTCACGGATTATTAATAATTACGGACAAAACGAAGCGTGTCGCCACGGTAAAAGTACGACGAGTCTCGCGACCACACGTCTGATGGCGGTCGCGTAATCGCGTTTCGTTTCGACGCGTTCGCTCTTTCCTTTTCCAAGTGATTAGTCTCACTGGTCTCACAGAGCGAAGCCTAGAATTCGTCCACTCGCTTCAGGGTCAGCACTGAACCGAGCCGGCTGCGATTAGTCATAATGGCAATTATTATATTGTGCAACGTTTCCCATTGCTACCAATTGAATTCCCCGTTACTGTAAGCCACATCGCGTCTCGCCCGCTTCTTTGGCATTAAACACCTTGAATATTAGCATACCGTCGATGGCTGATATATAGTTCAAAGATGGAGGGAGAGGATAAAAAAACTGTATCGAGGGTGTGAACGCACGAAAGGACTGCGTTCGATCTCCGTCGGTGTACCTGTCGCGAGCTGACCAGCGCGGAAAGGCGAACGCGTTTATGGTAATCGGTGGTTAGGGCGTGTCTTATTACGTTGACCCTGGCTGTGGATTAATAGTCCATCATAGTGACGGTGCAGGTGACGTCTATGATCGATGAGACTGTTACCTTACGTCAGAGGTGCGATACCGTGGGATTCTTGAGAGGGTGGTCCCGAATGAAAGATGCAAAGAGGTGTGAAGCTTGAACTCCTACGAACCCTTAAAAGCTTCGATATTGATAATGGAGAACTCTGGTTTCCTGTTACCAGCCCTATACTTGGTGGGTTATTTATAGATCTTGGTAATTCTTGGTTTTCTTTGTATTTTGGCTCGTAGAATCGCTTCCTAATCCATTGCCCACCTGTGGTTAGTCACCCTGTACAAGGTAATTCATCCGTAAAGCGAAACGTCAGAGATCACCCAAGGAATTACGTACTTGTTCGCGCTGTTTCCGAGGCGAAAGAAAAACGCGCGAAGACTGCAAATCGAAACCGAGGAGAGGGATTAAAAGTGACGTCCTTAGATGTTTACAGTGACTTCCAGTCGCGATAAATCCTAGCTACGGTTCACTCGAAATTGCTTTTCGAGGATCGCTTGTAGCGGATGCAATTAAAGGGGATCACCGTGCGGTCGTAATATAATCTTCACCTTTCCCGAACTCTCAGGACGAAAAGAATCGGACCAACCGTCGTTTAATTCGATGAAAGATTTACTGGAAACCTCAACGTTTCCACGATAGCGAGCTCTAATTAATTTCTCCGATTCGATCAGAGTTACGAAATCAATTGGTATGCAATGGAAAATTGACGAAGTAACGGCTACTTGAATAACATTCTGGAACGAACGCGCGGGGTTGCTTAATTTTTAGTGTAGTTTTCTCGCTATAGGTTTAAAGAGCAAGTTGAAACGTGAATAACCATGGTAGAGATTAAATTAGCATCAACCATCGTCGAGAGAAATGAAAACGCGTCTCTTCGGAAGCGAGTCTTTGCATGGAATTGCAAAGCTGCACTTGGTAGATACGAAAAGTTACGAACATGCCGACATGAAAATTCCCAATTAGCCTACTTCACCTGACCGCACTGCCTACCGTAATAGTGGCGCTTTGTACTGACAAGTACTAACCAAAGAATTCCTTGCGATAACATTTCTTGGTGAAGAAAGAGGCTAACGAAACAATGGCCATTATTTAGCATATTCAACGTTATCTATGGATCATTGATATGTTTAATAGTTAGAATGCTTTGAGGTACCTCGTGGTACATACGTATAAGAAAACGTCAGACCTCGATACGAGCTAAAAACCTTACTTTGCGGTAAAACAGTGGATGGGGCTTGCACGGAGGTAGCCGGAATGATCTTAAGAAAATTAGAACCCGGACGCGTAAAACGGTAAAGAGGAGTAGTAAATTCTAACAGCAACGCTGTATACAGGCTGGCTTATTGGCTGCACACGCAAAGGGAAGCAGCTGTACGTTGAATGAACGCTTTCCACGTACGAAACGTTTGTGTGCTGAACAAACATCGGACCTATCTGGAGCTGCTCCTTCTTCCTCGACCTCGTTTCTCGGAAGCCGTCCTTTCATCCTCGGTGGTTGACATTTTTCGACGCTGCTCTTGCATGATCGAAAG